ATTATATGCTTGATGTTCTACATCTGCATCTAACAGAGAAGATTAGGAGCATTATTGTGTAGAAGTATGTGGCTATATATCAAGTAGCTATTAAAAGTAGAGAATAAAAACAATTTTAGCTTCTAATAACTCTCCAAAAACAAAATTATAAGCAATTGATACCAAGATCCCAATAACAGTAACTCATTGATTTCCTTGGCTAGGTGACAATACTGATCATACCATTATGACAGCAAGATGTGACTTTCCTAAGCATATAGACTGAAACTTTAGCAATATAAATCCTGTTGAGAAAAACTCAAGCTAATTTATGCACATACACACGTGTGAATATATTCCTCCTAAACAAAACAAATAAAACAGGTCATAACTAGCAGTTGTGACAAAGTTTATCGTCAAGGCGGACGCTCTCCCATACTGGCCCGCTGTGCCTCTGCCATTCATCTGTGAAGAAGACGGGGGTTAGACTCTCCACTCTGCGGAAATATCCTGGGTCTGAGGTTCATGAAGCAGCCCGTCCGCTTGGAAAAACTTACCCAGGGTCTGCAGTATTATGCTCTCTAGAATGACCAGGTCTTGGGCTTGTTGCAGGTAAGCCTGGGGTTGAGAGGACAGGCAGGTTACTTGTGATGAGGCACTCTGTATCAAGCCTGCACATTTCTAACACTCTCTTGAGGAGGTAAAAAAATACCAAGGGGGAATCTTTATTACATTCAACACTGGAGGGAGCTGGTACAACCATCCCTTTCCCAGGAAAAAAAAGGCAAGTGCCCAACATTTCTTGCAAGAAATGGCATCATTGATTTCATACGGGCTTCATGACTTCAACTGCCATTAATTTATCTTTAAAATAGGCCCTTTCCTCCAGTCTGGCATCAAAATAAAGCTTCCCCCTTGTTTTCAAGGTTAGATGTGCTGGTCCTGTCAGGAAGGGCTGTGGTGAGATGCAAAATAACGTGCTTAACAAACCTCTTGTTTGAATGGCAAGGATAGGTCTGAATTTCAAACTTCATTCATTGGTGTCACCAAAAGAGGGCTATCCTGGCAGGCAATATCAACCCCTTGGTGTAAACAGCGCTACACACCTGGTTTTCATTCATACTTTAGCAGGGACACACAGAACAGAAAAGCAATTTGGTTAAAAAAAACCCTAAGAGCTTTCTGTACTATGCACCAATAACATCTAAGCATTAGTTACCATAGTTCTGGAATTTACTCATGCTTGTTTTAAAAAGAAAGCAGCACTGAACATCCAATAGCATATGGGGGATTTGCACTGCCAGGATGTTCTTCTCCCATCCTCAGTTGATGAACACTGCAGGTTCGACAGATAGGTTACTACTTACCTCACTCCGTGTATCAGGAAGAGCCTCTTGGTGATGAAGACAGGCATGGGCAACCTTGATGACATGCTCCAGTTTTCGAGGCTGTTCTTCCACCTTAGCTGCCAGGAAAATGGCAGCTGGTGCTACAGACTTCACAAAAGAGAAAAATATAAATACACCCGCCTACTCCAAATGGCAGCACATCTCATTGTTCTCAAATGTCCAGCAAAGCTAGCTTGACAACACAATCTAATCATATCACTAAAGTTTTACAAAGTACTTTACATACACATACATTAAGAAACCAATTTCACACAGTATTTCAACTTGTAAAACTCAGTCTGAACCATAGAAAAAACATTCCATAGCATCAGTTGCAGAATGTATGTCTAGGTTTCCTTATTCACAGGTAATGAACAAAATAAACACCAATTTAATGCAGAGTAGATTTCTGGGGAATCTAAGCAAATTTTCTTCTTAAAGATACAAGTTTATAGTTTCAAAAGTTTTATATGGAAACTTCTGAAAACGTAGGAACAATACCAGACAGCGGTCTACATAAGATTATGCGTAGTGCCATGTACTTTGGACTATGATAATGGATGGTGTGATTTATATTGAATATAATGTTTTTAAACGTTTTAAATGCTTAATTTGTATTAATTTTAATGTTACTGGAATTGTATATATTTTAAGGCATTGAATAATTGCCTATATGTAAGCTGCCTTGAGTGCCTTTTGGGGCAGAGAAAGGTGGAGTATAAATAGGGTAAATAAAAATAAAATAAATGTTTAGGACAAGGACCCTTTTCTCTTCCTTCACATCAGCCACCCTCCAAGTTCTGCAAAAGTAAAACACCCAACCAATTTGATGATTTGTGAGCAAATGTCATCCAATTTTACTGAGACATAGTACTGATCTTTATGTGAAACAGGGGAACAAAATCAATGGGTCCAGGGACCATATGCATGTTCAAATATTGCCCCCAAAATAGGAGATGCAAGGAACAGTGAAAAAGCACACTTTGACTATTTAAGAAGTAATTTTTAGGTTAAAAGGTATGCCCCCCCCCCCATTTTAATGTCAGAAAAAGGTGGTTTGATGGCTGAATGAACAGCCTTGGAATCGCAACTGTAACAACCTCAGTTAAAATTTGTCAACCCTAACTGAAAAGTTACTGTTGATTCCCACCATCCACTTGACACATATTTAAAGAAATACCTGATCTTTTAAAAATTACTTAATAAGAGCAAACAATAAATGAGGAGTGGACCATCTCAGTTGTAGTGCCCAAATTTTAAGGCGTTTTGTCAAGAACTTTGCAGGGCACCCCTCTTCTGTGTTGTTAGATACACACTCAAAATGAGACAAGCATTTTGAGCTAAGAATTTGTCCTCAGATTTGTTTACATGAAACTACTGCTGCTTTTACATTTTAGTCTGCTCTTGCCTTATTTTTTTAGTATCAATGCAGAGTAATGGATATGCTTTATTTTGATTTATTTTTATCATTAGTATAAAGAATCCTTTAAACCAGAAAATGATAACAAATGTTATAACAAAAAAGGGATATAACTGATTTTTTTAACCATGTCATGGTGAACTTCATGGGGTCCAATATGTTTTAGAACACTCTTCACTGGGCTTCTACTCCTGTATCTTAGACAGGATTTCTTCCCTTTACCCTGTTAGCAAAGCTACACAGAGATCAAGAAAGCACCAGAAACAATTTGATGGATACTTACATTCCGATGAAACTGGGTAAAAGACTGAACCATGTAGAAGCGATGCATATAGACAATGGCTGTGTTAATAGTCAGTTGGGAACTACAGTATTATGGTTAAGGAAAAATCAGACTGACGTTTTTAAGCCTACTGACAATTATTCATCTATTTTGTTGCAATTCATGCAAAAACTGTTGACTGTAACAGGTCATGCTGCAATTTCACAATGTTGTGAAAAAGAATGCATATCAATATTTTAAGCAAATATACAACCTACAGGAGCCATTATTATGTTACCTCTTGAGATGGAAAAATGAATCAAAAGCAATGCCAGTATTGAAAAATTCAAAATGGCCAAAATATGTAAGAGCCAGGACTGGATTACTTTTTCAAACTTTGTCTTTCTCCCCTTATTTATATATAAACCCTTGAGAACTCTGGGCAACATCTAATCTGACCACTTATTGCAGAAGGGATGTGGATCCACTCTGTGGAGGCCAAACATTGCATAACCTGATCTGGGGTAACGTGAGGTTAGGGGATACTTATAATTCTGGCCCTGAATTCAGAGTATCCCCCAACTATGAGCCACTGTAAACAGTTGGGCTAGTTCCAAAATAGAACTGGCCACAAGTTTCCATTGCTATCCCCACCCATGCAGTGACATGCAGCGATATTGGATGAGATTACAGAATAGGCCCTATTCAATCTAACTGCAGCAAAGGCCCACTAGTAGAACCCGGAACATTGGGCCTGTAGAGATCCACCAACAGTAACGTTATCTCAAAACTAGCTCTGAATCATATCACAAAAGGAGTCCCCCTTCCACTTATTACCCAATACAGGTTGAGTAACCCTTGTCCACATTCTGAAATACTCCAAAATTGTCCACATGGCTGGTGGGGATTGGGCCACATTTGCTTTATAACAAAAATGAGCATGAGCATTAATGGAATTAGAAACATTAGTTTTTGGTGCGGAGTTCCACGCTGTGTTATTTCATTTTAGTCCCATTGGTTAAAGGAGAGGACCACAGTACGTTCTAGAGAAGTCCACATGAAATCACGTCTCAGGAAGATGCTAGCCAGAACCTAAATGTGCATCCCATACCCCAAATACTTCAAAATTGTCCATATAGGTGGCCGAGTACCACCTCTGCTTTCGGATTTCTTAAAGTAAACAAGCGTTGTTTGGTGCGGAAAATTATTAAAATATTAGCACATTTTGTGCCAAATGTTATTTTTAAATTGTAGGTAATATACGGAGATATGAAACACAAACTAATTCTGTGTAAATACGGGGACCTCAAAACCCGGGGAAAGGCCTAAAGCACTTCCGCTCCCAGGCATTTCGACGAAGGGGCCCTCAACCTGCTTGTGACCCCTCCGTCGCCGGAGATTTGGGCCTCACCACACAGCCGTTTCGGGCCGGGCGTCCTCCCTCCTTCCGTTCCACCCGAGAGGCCTCCCAGAGAGGCCTAGCACCAAGCCCCGCCTGGCCTTCCGGTGCCGCACGCCTCCCTTCCCGAGTGCCGGCGCCTTCCTGGGCAGGCGCGGCCTAAAAGGCGCTTCTAGCGAACCCCGGCCCAAGCCGCTTGCCCAAAGCCCCGCCGGGCCGTGCTCGTTCCGAAGCCGGCTTTCCCGGCCTTCCCGCCCGGCCTGCCCGCCCGCCTGCCGCGGCCTAGTTCCCAAAGGGATACACATTGAGGCGCTGGCCCATGTCCTGGAGCAGGTTCGCCGCTTGCTGCCGGTAGGAGAGCTCCTTGTCCGGGTCGAGGCCCGCGCGGCGGGAAGGGCTCCGCGCCAATTGCTCGCGAGTGAAATACCAGCGCCCTCCGACTTCAGCCGCTTCGGCCGCCGCCGCGCCACACACCGCCATGATGGCCGCCGTCGCCGTCGACAACCACGCATGCGCCGCGAGACGCACGCTACACGCACGCGCCGTGAGACGCACGCAAGGGACGGCCCGCCTCTTCCTCTCGCCGCTTCTGGTATGCGCTATACGCACTTCCTGTTCCTTCTCCACTGGGAAAGTATGGCGTCTTGAACTTCCGGTATTAACTTGACTGCCTCATCCACCTGAATTGAACATTCTGGTCTTGCAGTGTCTGTGGCCCGAATAGGCCTCCGCAGCAGTGGGTGGATGGGTGAAGTCTACAAGCGAATTCATTAAGGGCAGCTAGAAAGTTTATTGAATGGAAGCAATGTTTTATATAACTTATTTATTATTAAATCCATTAATAAATAAATGAGGTTTTTTTGTCGTGTCAGGACCGACTTCAGAAATTGCAAGAGCCCGCGGTGGCGCAGTGAGTTAAACCCTTGTGCCGGCAGGACTGAAGACGGACAGGTCGCAGGTTCGAATCCGGGGAAGAGGCGGATGAGCTCCCTCTATCAGCTCCAGCTCCTCATGCGGGGACATGAGAGAAGCCTCCCACAAGGATGATAAAAACATCAAATCATCCAGGCGTCCCCTGGGCAACGTCCTTGCAGACAGCCAATTCTCTCACACCAGAAGCGACTTGCAATAAATGAGTTATGAAAATATTGTATTGTCGAAGGCTTTCATGGCCGGAACCACTGGGTTGTTGAAGGTGTTTTGGGCTATATGGCCATGTTCTAGAGCAGGGGTCCTCAAACCTTTTAAACAGAGGGCCAGGTCACAGGCCTTCAAACCGTTGGAAGGCCGGATTATAATTTGAAAAAAAACCATGAATGAATTCCTATGCACATTGCACATACCTTATTTGTAGTGCCAAAAACACTTAAAAACAATACATTTCTTAAAATTAAGAACAATTTTAAGAAATCTAAACTTAATAGTATTTCAATGGGAAGTGTGGGCTGCTTTTGGCTGATGAGGTAGGATTGTTGTTGTTGTGTGTTTTCAAGTCGTTTCAAACTTAGGCTGACCCTGAGCGAGGGCCAGGTAAATTACCTTGGAGGGTCGTATTCGGCCCCCGGGCCTTAGTTTGAGGACCCCTGTTGTAGAAGCATTCTCTCCTGATGCCTGCATCTATGGCAGGCATCCTGAGAGGTTGTAAGGTCTGTTGGAAACTAGGAAAACATTTCTCATTGCCCTTATTTCAGCTTTTACCACTACGTGTTACATTCAACCGACGAGGAGTTCAGGAGAACAGTTTACTCGCTATATTTTAGTTCCAAATTTTGGGTTTTTTATCAGTCGACACCGAATTTTTGAACTCAAAAAAATATAGCGGGGTTTTATCAGTCAAGAGTGAGCCCCCAGTGGTGCAATGGGTTAAACCCTTGTGCCAGCAGGACTGCTGACCGAGAAGTCAGTGCTTCGAATTTTGGGAGAGTGGGTTGAGCTTCCTCTGTCAGCTCCAGCTCCCTATGTGGGGACATGAGAGAAGCCTCTCAGAAGGATGGTAAAACATCAGAACATCTGGGTGACCCCTGGGCAGATGGCCAATTCTCTCACACTGGAATCAACATACAGTTTCTAAAGTCGCTCCTGACACACACAAAATCAGCCAAGAAACATCAGTGAATGATGGGACAGAGTGGGGTCATGTCTTGATCTGGTAGCAGAAACAATTAAAAAGCAACAACAATAAAGCAAATGCAGAAACAGTAAGCATGGTATCACAGAATAAATGAATGAATTGTGCCTCTGTTAGAGTTGTTCTACCTCCAAAGGCACATTTTTACAAGGCCTTTAGCATCTCTATAACATTGAGCTGTGGCAGTTAAAGTGGTGTCAAACTGCATCAGCTGCAGTGAAGATGTACCCAAAGGCATCATTCCATAGTCCCAGATGTGCTCGTAGTTTTATTCATTGTGCTGTAGGAACTGGGTAAAAGAAATAAGGGAAAATGGAAAATTACTAAACCAGCAAAAGGTTTAGACGGGGAGGGTGTGTGTGAGAGGGAGATAATCAAAACAGCATGGAAAAACACAATGTTTTTTATTGCTTGTTCTCTTTTTCTGTACTCGGTGTTTACTACAAGTGACAAGCAAACCACACATTTTTTTATTATTGGTAATCACATATAAATAATAAAATTCTGCAAATTTATTGAGTCACTTTGTTTGGGCTGGTGATTCTAAAATCATTATTTCAGTTACCTTTTCCCTCAAACCAGACTTCGGTAACATCAAACTGTTTTTCTCCGGTTATCACAGTTGCCTGTAGAAACACATATTCTTTTATTTTTTTATCTTTGCAGTTTGGATTTTAATGAATAGTTGTTACTGAGAAATCATATGAACTATCATGGACTGACAGAGCTCAGCCTTTTAAATGACCTGGGAACTGTACACTCTGCTTCACCCTTTTCCTTGTTCATTTGACCCACCCTGGAATGCAAACCAGCCACACACAAAAGGAAATTTACATGATCTTAACTAAACATCGCCCTAAGAAAAGTCATCAGAAGAGGAAATGGCCAATTACCCCATCAATCAGGGATAGTTATGTCCATGGGAAAATTCCATTTCACAAACCTCTAGAAGTCTACTTGGTTTCATCCATTCATAAATCTAAAAGGGATCATTCACAAAAACTTTTAAAAATCCTTTCTGCAATTTTAGGCAACAAACCCTTTCCCCCTTCTAACCTATAACCTGGATATGTATGTATGTATTTTCAGCGAACCTCACCTCAGTATATAAAGTAACCTGGGAATATCTCTATGCACACTCAATTGCCTAATCCTATCACAATGAAACCAGAGGCAGAAGGGGAGAGTGCTGTAGGCATATAAGGCTATCGCAGTTTCGGACCATACAAAACCTATTAACAAAAGACCTCTTTTCATGTATATATTTCTTGTGGTTGCCGAGGGATTTTCCGGCTTCCCATTAAGGTCAGCTGATAAAGGTCAGCACATTGTACTGTTTGTCTCTCAGAACTTCTCATAATGTTCTACCAGATCTTTTCCTTTGTACACACTCAGCCTGAATTGCTAAACCAATCATGGACTCGTTTGCATGTTTGTCAACCACATTCCTGGGAGTTGCACCACTTTTGGAATCAGAAATGGACTCAGACTTCAGACTTCACACAGTGATGACATCTGAGATAATCCACTGCCAATGGAAACCTGAATCATTTTTCAGCCAATAAGAGGCTCACAAGGGTGTTTCAAACAGCAGTCAAAATAAATAAATATGCTATGCATTTCCCAATGCAGGCAGCACAGATCTTTGAGAGTGCAGACTATTCTGACTTTTTGGGCCTAAAAGAATAAACCTCTATTCTTGTTGCCTTCAAACCTAATTTGTGTCTTAATCTGGCTTTTGGAGTAGCAAAGCACATCTTAGCAGATATACCGTAACTAAAATCACTCAGCATGGATAAATCCTGCCTGCCCATACTGCTGTTAAAAGGCCTACACGCTCATTCATCAGAAGTGAATGATCAGTATATCTCCTCCTTCAAGCTGCTCATGGATGTGTGTTTCATAGATGTCACTTTCAAGAAAATATATTTTTGAAAAAAGACCCCCTCATGTAAATGTATATGCCTAGCCCACGTACATATCTTAGTGTATATCTCTCTTCCACCTCTTTTTTCCACTTCTTTCTTTCCCCCTCTTTTCTTTGTAGTCAGACTTTTTATAAACTTTAAAAATGTGTCACAATTGTCATTTGCACACCTGACTTTTTAGTTGTTAAAGAAATGCCATGAACTGGGTTGAACTGTTTGTCTCCATAGCAACTTGGTAAACATGCTTTAGAAGCCAAGAGGCAGAAGGTTGTAGTCAGGAGACTGTGGTTGAACCTGCAGGGGAAGGGAGGGCCAGGGGATGACTTTCTTTGGATTAACCTTTTGGGGTTATCAAGATCCTTTTCGTGACAGAAGGCTAACATTACCCCAACATGAAGTGCCAGGTAAGGAAGTTGCCCAGAAACACTTCTTTCATCATCCAAGTTTAGCTTTCTTTCATGAGTTTCCTGAACATGTACAGTTCTGGAAATACACCTTCAAACAAATGCTTCATGTCAGCAAGCCTTGGAATTGCTACTCTTAGAGAGAGGATATGAAATTCCCAGCACTCTTAACAAAATGCAGTAATTGGGACACTTTACCTTGAGGTGATACAAAACTGATGGAGGCAAGTCTTTTCTATTTCCATGTTGTCCATTTCTCTTCAGAAAATGATTGAGGGGTGGCTCTCCTAGAATATTTCAATGGAGAGTATGTACTAGTTTATGTCAATGCTGAAGCAGGAGTCAGGAATCAAAAGATTTCCTGCTTACTATCCAATGCAAAACGAGCCAGAAAAAAATGTGAAGTGGATGTTCTTAACTAAAGTCGATTTGTGGTTAGAGTATTGCATAGACACAAAATGCTAATGTAATAATGCCATAAGAGATGATGAACACAGAATGTATGTGAACTCTGAAAAAAGTATTGAATAAATCCAGTGATCACAGGTAAAAGCCACAATATGGATTGGCCCCAAGGATTTCAGGATTGAATTTTTGAAATAATTACACCTGTCTTCTTTCCATATTTTGAAATTGCGTCCTGGGTCCCATCTCCAAGCTATCTAATGAGGGATATGTACCTGTTCCAAGATCCTCCCAAAAACTAAAAATCAAAACACTGGGCCCAGGTATTTTGCATAAAGGATACTCAACCTGTAATAGCTATACGTATGGCTACCAAACATTCATAATCCAGGGTTGATCAGATTATAGTATTATCTTCACTCAGATTTGTTGTTATCCTTGGAAATTTAGCTGCTTCCCAGGCACATTTTCCTCCGTTGGACTAATGCAAGGGGCATTCCTGTCTGCCTCATCACCATGTCCCATCCCAGAGACGGGTATTCACTACAGCTCATCTTGGAAGCTTTGTTCTCTGCTTGACACAAGTTGAATCGGAAATATTTTTGGACCAGGCCCAGATTACACAGCCAAAGGTCAGGCAGGAATGGCAGAATATATAGTCAAATTTTGTCCAGAGTTCCCAATTCCTGATCTGATGGACATCAATGGTAAGCCATTATTAGATTTTTCCTTCTTGCAGATGTGGGAAATCAGGAGTTTTTAAAATAATTATTTGTTTTTCATTCGTAGTTTATTATTGCTAGCCATTTTGGAGCACAGATAGGAAATACCTTATATACTATTTTTAGACAAAATATCTTCAAAACCTGTGCCAACTTATCCACAGACTAATCTGAGAACTATTCCTTAACTCTTTATCAGAAAGGAACTATCCCCTTCTCTTAGTAAAGTGGTGAAAGACAAGAGCTTAGTCCATCCCTGGAGAACCTAAAAGAAAAATCAACCCTCTCTTCTCTCTAGTTTTGGTAATTTTGAATGCCTAGCCAGGGAAATGCCCCACTAAGGTGGCATTGGTGCTTTTCTCTCTCTCTGGAATGACACACAACGTATCTATGGATTGTATCAAAATCCATAATTTTGCACCCCACCCCCACCTCCTGCAGTGTTACATCATAGTGAGCCATTACCTACACTGAGTTTGGGTTCTAAAGGGCATTTGAAAACTAGAAAACTGTCTGTTCTTTAATAGTCAAATGGGAAACAAATGCTATTGAAGATAGACACATTTATGTTCTGTGCTTAGCAAGTAAGCTTCAGTTCATTGAAAAGTATGATACCATACCTTGCATCATAGCTAATGCTGAAGAATGTGAGAGTTGAACATACAGTATAAGATACCTAGGTATGTCCTAGTATCTACTATATGCAGCCCAGCTTAAGTTTCAGAAGTGGAGCTCTATCAGGCAGGAGACTTGTGTTATCCTGTTCCATTCCACTTTGATTTGAGACCTTCCGTCTCTCAGAATGATTATATTGGGTTGTTATTGTTGATTCTGTTTTCCATTTTCTTCATATTCAGTGGGAAAACCATCTCCCAAACTGGACCTTTTCTATCCCAAACTGCCACCCATAGGACCAGCTGGGTATGATGGCACCGTACATCAGGGCAGCTACGATAAGTATCGTGAAGCTGTCAGACGGAGGCAGCTCAAGAAAAGTAGGTGTGGCATGACTCTCACAAGGGCTTCAGAAAAGTGCAGTGATTATCTTCATTCCCTTACAGCATGGGTGGGTAACAGTGGTTATCCAGATGTTGTTAGACCACAACTGCCAGCATCTCTCACATTGCTTATGTGGGCTAGAACTGATAAGTGTCCAGCGAGATGAAGGAAGCCATGGTTTCCCATTTCTGTATTATGACAAGGGTGAGGCAAACCTGTTTTCATAAAACATAAAACTTCTTTGGTTTTCCTTGGACTTTATCTCTTATCATCTCTGACCACATGCTGTTTCAGTCTAGCGTATGGCAATGTTTGCCTCTCCATTACTTGTGACCTTTAATACCCAAAAGCAGGGCCAGATACCAGGGAAGATGGGGATTGTATTCAAAAGATATCTAGGGCACTATGTTAGGGAAGGCATAGGTAGAGGAGGAGATGGCCATAGCATAGGATGGTTATAAGGCATGAGGCTTTATGATACTTCAAAAGCAATCATTATGACAGAAGAGGGGAACATTGGCTCCCCGAATGTTGGTGAACTGCATCACCCATTATCTTTCAACATCAATGATGTTGCTACCTAGCATGCACAAATGTTCATGCCCCCTTTTGGTGGACCACATTTGCACCACTTGTGCCATGGGAATATTGGTCTGAACCTTGCTGAGCAAGACTGGATCTATAAAACTTGTCAAGTGGTGAGTCAACAAATAAGCCATGTATAGAATGGGCTTATTTTATTTTGGTTGGGATTATCAGTAGGGTTCGGGCAATGTCTTTGCACCAGTTAGTAAAAGTGTGGCCCTTGAGAGGTAGTACAAGAAATCTAAGTGGTAGCCAGCAGGGTGAGAGATAGACATACTTATATCCAGTCCAAGCAAAGCTCAGCATAACTCTTCTTTGGGTCCACATTTGCAGGTGGACCCAAAGGTGCCCTTACAATTGCCTGAGTTCATGCTGAGGTACTGCAAACAATTTTGGACTTGTCCTATCTAAGAAACCAAATGCCTTGCCTGCTTTCCTAGATCCCAACCAAGAGTACAGGGTGCCAGTGACCTGTGCACAGGATATCGGCTGGTGGTTGCCTCTTGATCCCTCAGTCAAACCAGAAGACGCCATACCATGGATGAGGACCCCAAGATACCCTCAGCTGAGGAGTCCCATGACAAAGTGAGCATATTGGCAAAGACTCAGCCCCCCACTCTAACTCTCAGTCCAAGAAGGAGGATTTGAATCAAGGTTATGAGAATGTGTAACTAAGTAATGGCAAGACCAGCATTCCCTGAAGGCAGTGACATGATGTCATGCATCTTCTCTTCACAGAATGCCTTTCTATGGATCCAAACACTCTTTGCATTTCTAGCTTGGTTGCTGTGTGTTTTCTGGGCTGTATGACCATGTTCCAGAAGCTTTCTCTCCTATGCTTTTGGAACATGGCCATACAGCCCGGAAAACTCACAGCAGCCCAGTGATTCTGGCCATGAAAGCCTTCAACAACACAATTTCTAGCTTATTTTTCAGTACATGTCAGGACAAATTAATGTAAAAATATGGGGTCAAATGGAATGGTGGATCCAAATGGCCACTTGTCTGTGAAAACAATGCACATTATATAATTATTAGGGGACTGTCAAGGGGTGGGGGGAAAGGACAGGACCAATCCTCTATGAATTATCATTATACATATTATGGAACTTGAAATCCAAAACACCTGGAGGACTAAAGTTTGCTCATGCCTGAGCTATACCAGTCAAATTATGATGAAATTTTAATGCAAAGCTACTCAAACACCCTGTCAAAGAGTATGGTGGCTTAAATTGTGGAACAGAAGAATGATTTCAAGTAGTGTAGACTTTAAAGAAAGATTATCAGGAAAATGTGGTTGCATGAAAAACTGTGAACTGCCTTGATATGTTTTGTTGGATAAGCCTTTGCCAGAGATTAAAGGGCATCAAATCCTGTAACAGACATGACTAGGATAAATAAGAATTTCAGATTCCATCTTAAACATCTCACCCTGTTTTTCACTCTATGTGAGAAAAGAACATATATTCCAAAATCATAATCTATCTAAATGTACCCCAATATTGTAAGAGCTAAAAAAAAATATCAGATTAAACATTTTTAAAATACAGTTAGGAAGAATTATTGAAAGTAAAAATTGTCTGATGATGAAATAGACTGTCTTGGAGGGTGGTTCCCTCTATTTTGTGAAACGTTTGTAAGCAGGAGTTTGATGTCATCAACTGAAGCTTTAGCTGTGGATTCCTGCATTGAATTAAATGTTTTGTGAGGTCATTTCCACTCTTTAGCATGTGCGTTTTTCACTAGTCAATAAGAAACTTTTAAAAAAGAGCTTTGCTGCTATTGTTATTTCCTTTCAGTTGACACCCATAAGACTATCATTAGCAGCCCTGCTCAGGTCTTGCAGCCTCAGGGCACGGTAGATTCCTTGATTGAATCAAGCCATCTATAATGTGGTCTTCCTCTTAGTCTACCACCTTCCACTTTACCAAGCATTATGATCTTTTCCAGTAAATCATGTCTCTTCCTATTACATATAAATGGGCCCCCTCTGAAGTATAACTTTGTCTTCTGGGGAGACTTCAGGCTTGCTTTACTCTAGGACCCATTTATATGTCTTTTAGCAGCCCACAATAGCCATAGAACTCTCCTCCAGCACTGCATTACAAATGAGTTGATTCCTTTACTGCCAGCTTTCACTGTAGCCTTCCTTCACTGTCAGCTTCCAATGAGAAGGAATCCCACTGGAGCATTGCAGCACACCCAAATACCTGGGAGTTACCCTGGACTGTGCTCTGACTTACAAGAAGCACTGCTTGGCTATCAAGCAAAAAGTGGGTGCTAGAAACAATATCATACGAAAGCTGACTGGCACAACCTGGGGATCACAACCAGACACAGTGAAGACATCTGACCTTGCGTTTTGCTACTCTGCTGCTGAGTACGCATGCCCAGTTTGGAACACATCTCACCATGTTAAAACAGTGGCTGTGGCTCTTAATGAGATATGCTGTATTATCACAGGATGCCTATGCCCTATACCACTGGAGACATTATACTGTTTAGCTGGTATTGCACCACTTGTCATCTGCCGGGAAGTACCAACCAATAATGAAAGGACCAAGGCAGTGACATCTCCGGCCCATCCCCTGTTTGGATATCAGCCAGCTTGCCAATGTCTTAAGAAATAGCTTTCTAAGATCTACAGAGATACTCGCAGGAACACCTCAGCAAACGAGAGTCCAAAAGTGGCAGGCTCAAACCCAGCACCTCAGTCCATGGCTGATAGCAAATGAGTCTCCCCCCCGGACACACAGAAGACTGGGCGACTTGGAAGGCACTGAACAGACTGCACTCTAGCACCACGAGATGCAAAGCCAACTTTCAGAAATGGGGCCACAAAGTGGAGTCCATGACATGCGAATGTGGAGAAGAGCAAACCACAGACCACCTATGCAGTCTGAGCCCTGCCACATGCACAATGGAGGACCTTCTCACAGCAACACCAGAAGCACTCCAAGTGGCCAGCTTCTGGTCAAAGAACATCTAGTATAATGCCAAGTTTTTAACTTTGTTTGTGTTTTTAAATACATTACAACTGTACCCTCAATTTGCTTCTGACATGATAAATAAATAATGAATAAATCTTTCACTACCAGTTATAGAAATCAAAACTACAGATTCCAGTTATTAGCAGAGGTATATGGCTTCATGGTACACTGCATGGTGTCCATACAAGAGCCCTCACTATTGCACATCTAACAAAAGGAATCTTCTCAGAGTAGGCGTTGAACCCAAGGAAGCTGACATTTGTTGAATAGGTTTATTGTTTTCATATATCAGTGCAAACTGAACATGATAGAGATCTGAAAGCCTTTACTCAACTCTTTGGGGGGGGCGGGCAAGGATTGTAATTTGCATCATTCTGGATCCTTATATTCCTTCTCACATCTATGCAAGTATGCTTTATGACTTTATAACTATAACTGTAGATCAAGAAGTGGATTTATATTCATAAAAGTCTGTTCTAAAGTTTAAAAAACCCTAGTTACTCTTAAAACTAGGCCTACACACAAAAAACTCAAAACAAAAGAACTCAAAATCTGGCTTTGGGATCAAGCCTTTGAACAATAGATGGAGCAACTGGGAAGAGAATGTTTGAATGACCGCAATGGATTGACCCGGACTATGATTTTAAAGCCTCCGGTGGTGCAGTGGGTTAAATGGCAGAGCTGCTGAGCTTGCTAACCGAAACGTTGCAGGTTCGAATGTGAGGAGCGGCATGAACTTCCGCTGTCAGCCCCAGCTTCTGCCAACCTAGCAGTTCGAAAACATGCAAATGTGAGTAGATCAATAGGTACCACTGTGGCGGGAAGGTAACAGTGCTCCATGCAGCCATGCTGGCCACTTGACCTTGGAGGTGTCTACGGACAACGCCGGCTCTTCAACTTAGAAATTGAGATGAGCACCAACCCCCAGAGTTGGACACAACTAGACTTAATGTCAAGGGACAACCTTTACCTTTACCCCCTATGATTTTAAACTGGCGAACTGTTTTAAATTCAATGTTATAATTGTTTGAATTGTGTTTAATTGTAATTGTGGTTTTAATGTATCGTGTCGGCATCTAATGGCTACCTGCTGTAAGCCATCCTGAGTCCCTCCTCGGAGGTAAGAAGGACGGGATATAAATGCTCAAAATAAATAAATAAATAATACATTCTGTTATCTTTTTCCACTCCCTATTTATGCTGCACGAGATTAACATACCTAGTTCTTTAAAAATGGAACCAAATACAATAATGTATAACAACTACCAAAACAGTTACTGTCAACCAATCAGTTACAAAATGAATGTTAAGAGGAACAGAATAGCCTTTCAATGCTTATTTCCAATTCTCATGCACTGACTGCACCTGCAATGAAGTGTCAAGAGGGGGCAGAAGGGGTTCGACTACAAAGCTGGGACTCTCCTTTCCTTTTAGCATACATGGGCATCTGATATCATGCTTAATTGTTTCATGTAGACATACAATGTTGTGTAGCACTGAGTAGATGAAAAAACTTGATAAAGGAAACTGCTATTTTGGCTGCACAGCTGACTCCTGGCTCAGCAGCTCCTCCTTTCTTTCTTTCCGTTTAGTAGAGAGTGTGTATATATAAGTGTTTGATAGGGTTTAACTAGTCTAAACACCCTGAAGGGCACCAGATCCTCTTTAACTCCAGAAGCTAAGCAGGCTCCAACCTGGTTAGTATTTGGATGAGAGAGCAAAGTATCCCAGGTGCTCTAGGATATATTTCTAGGCCACAAAACCACACCTGAGTATAGTGAACCCTCAGATCCATAGGGTCTGGACCAACCATGGATCCTCACGTCTTAAACATAAAATGATAGGGATGTATCCATGCTTATATTGCCACCATGTAATAATGTGGGATGTGTCATCTGCTTAATGTATTGTCGAAGGCTTTCATGGCCAGAACCACTGGGTTGTTGTAGGTTTTTTCAGGCTATATGGCCATGTTCTAGAGGCATTCTCTCCTGACATTTCGCCTGCATCTATGGCAAGCATCCTCAGAGGATGCTTGCCATAGATGCAGGCAAAACGTCAGGAGAGAATGCCTCTAGAACATGGCCATATAGCCCGAAAAAACCTACAACAACCCTATTATCTGCTTTTTTGCCGTCCACCCGAGCTTGTATCTTGGAAGCAAACCCCTGTTGGTCCAGAGGGCTCACTCTATTCCTTGCCTAAGAAAAAAACTATGAAATGAATAAATATACATTACAACTCAGATTCTCCTTGTCCTTCATCAGACTTATAATTGTTTTAGGGACTGCACCATATTTGAATGGATGGGCGGGCAACGTGTTTCCCTCCAGATGTTAATGGACTGCAGCTCCCATTGTTATTCACTACTGATTATGCGTTTTAAGGCTTATGGGAGTCAGTGTCCAATAATATTTGTGTTGTTGTTTATTTGTTCAGTCGCTTCCAACTCTTCGTGACTTTATGGACCAGCCCACATCAGAGCTCCTTGTTGGCTGTGGCCACCCCCAGTTCCTCCAAGGTCAAGCCAGTCACTTCAAGGATCCCATCCATCCATCTTGCCCTTGGTCGGCCCCTCTTCCTTTTTCCTTCTTTTCCCCCCAGCCAGTATCATTGTCTTCTACAAGCTTTCCTGTCTTCTCATTATGTAGCCAAAGTGTTTCATCTTTGCCTCTAATATCCTTCCCTCCAGTGAGCAGTTGGGCTTGATTTCCTGGAGTATGGACTGGCTGGATCTTCTTGTGGTCCAAGGCACTCTCAGAATTTTCCTCCAACACCACAGCCATAAATTGACCATCAATGTTAAAATGGCATTCTTGCCCTTCTGGTTCACACAATAAGAAATAAGAAAAAGGAAACTAATGCTTTCTTCTCTTTTGACTTTTTTTTTTTTTTGCTGTAGATTTGTAGACAGAATGGGTATCAGCAACCCTCTTTTCACCATGTTCTGAGGGATTCCTGGAGAACTGTAATGGGAGACATGACGGATTCCGTGTGGCAGTAGATACAATGGCTGCACTGCAACTGCTGTCACATTAAGGCCAGGCACATCTCTGGTACTAATAAAGAGAGACTCAAGATGTCATTTATACTTCCTTGGCTAGTGTTATTATTCTTGCGTAAAAACTGGCAGACAAACTGGCTCACCAAATGGCATCATTCACCCGTGTGCTTATAATCATCAAAGCAAAAAAGTAACAACTTCTAAAGCAAAGAGCATAACTAACTGCACAACACAATACCTTTTCAGGTAACAATGCTACTAACGTATTTATTTCCAGAAAGTAATGTGATGACTGGTGAGACTGGGTAAATTTCTGCTGTAGACTTAATTCACATTGACACCACTTTAAAAGCTATGGCTCAATACTATGGGAACATGGAACTTGTTATTTTTCAAGGTCTTGAACCTTATCTGGCTCTCCAACCTACAACTCACAGAATCCCATAGAATTGAGATGTGGCAGTTAAAGTGTCAAACTACATTAATTCGACAATGTAGATGCACCATGTACATACTTTTTCAGCAAACCAGAATCATAGAATCATAGAATCAAAGAGTTGGAAGAGACCTCATGGGCCATCCAGTCCAACCCCCTGCCAAGAAGCAGGAATATTGCATTCAAAGCACCCCTGACAGATGGCCATCCAGCCTCTGTTTAAAAGCTTCCAAAGAAGGAGCCTCCACCACACTCCGGGGCAGAGAGTTCCACTGCTGAATGGCTCTCACAGTCAGGAAGTTCTTCCTCATGTTCAGATGGAATCTCCTCTCTTGTAGTTTGAAGCCATTTCTGATTCTGACTTGCTTGTTTTTCAGTGTTTATTTGCCCCCAGTTGGAAATATCTGTAAATACTAGGGGTGGGGACATGTTTGAGGGACCTTTGGGCTGTGGTTTGAGTGACTTGGATGAACTGATAGAACTTGAATCAAGGATTCTTTCCATCAGCGTTACCCAATATGTTTTTCACCATTTTTAGTAAAGTCAGCCCCTCCCCCATTATCAGTGAATTCTGCATCGATTCCCCACCCATAATTTGAAAATATTCCACCTGCCAACAAGAAAAATTCATAAGCAAACCTTCATTTTGCCATTTTGTATAAGGAACACAATTTTATGACACATTGTATATAATGGGACCTGGGTATGCCTGGGTTTCCTCTCCTCCTGCTTCAATTCCCACTGCCCTTTCCTGCCCCTTATGTGTTGTGCACAACAATAATTCTCATTGCATTTGGGATACACCATGTATGTATGGGCAATAAAAACAGAATGCTGCAACTGCAGTTCCACTCTTGCTTTATAGCCTAGATGGCAAGGACTACAGGGTGCACAGGGATACCAGTGTTCATGTACAAAATGTTTACAATCAAAATATTTTTTTTCATGTCAGGAGCGACTTGAGAAACTGCTTCTAGTGTGAGAGAATTGGCTTTCTGCAAGGACATTGCCCAGAGGATGCCCGGATGTGTTACCATCCTGTGGGAGGCTTCTCTCATGTCCCGCATGAGAAGCTGGAGCTGACAGACAGGAGCTCACCCACTTCCCCGATTTTGGTCAGCAATCCTGTCGGCACAAGGGCTTAACCCATTGTGCCACTGGCTAAACTAAACCTCTGGCTATACATTGTGAAATACTTTTAGCATCTAAGGATGTGGTCCCAGTGAGTGATTTTATTTTTTAAAGTGAGATTCAAGAGTTTAAGTAAGATCCCAAGTTCTGCCTCTCCACTGTGTTCCTACACTGGCTGGGGATTATGGGAATTGCAGCAAAACACACCTGGAAGGCATCAGGCTGGGGAAGGTCAGATCAGCTGGCATTTGTTTCCAAAGAAGTGTTCACAAGAGTTATGATTTATTAATTGCACCAACTGTAAATCATACAGTTATGATGAGCATCTACTTGCATGTTGCCTGGGTGGGCCAGAGGGGTGTTCAAGTGCATTGCTTTTACCACAGAAGAAGAAAAAAAAATCAACAATGTAATAGAAAGTGATCTTTAATATATAATTTATATATTTATATATTTATATATATATATACACACACACAAAAGAAAAAAAGAGTACCAAATAAGTGCCATATTACCCACTCCACTCACACGTCTCCCCCAAGGAATACAACTGAACCATTTTAGGACCAGCTGTCAAAAGAGTGGGGAAATCTGGATTGGATGGCGCCCTCCCAATCCCCTTTCTCCTTCCCCATAGCAAACCCCCATCAATAATGCGCCGGCTGTGCACCAAGGCAGTTGCTGCCCATTAAAAAAAAATCAGACTTTCCTCTTAAAACATTTAAAGCAATAAAATAGCTTTCTTAACCATCAAGAATGTTTTCTTTTAAAAAGTTTCCCCAACTTGCTTTAAAAAGTCACTTTATCTGGATTTATTTTTTGCATTAAAAACACTTGGTTTTCCCTGTCATTCATCTGCTTTAAAAAGAACAGAGACCCAACCAAGAGACGTATCTTGCCTTCCCATGGCTTGAATGTTTCTGACTGGTGCCACTTTTAGCAAGAAGATGAGCAAAATAAACCTTGTTTTGAAGGAAACTCTGTTTTAGTATGGGAATCCTACCTGACATGTGGAAATGAGGTGGGAAGCAACGGGAGAAGGGAGAGAGAGATAAGTGTTGCAATTTTGACAGTATTAAATTCAGTGGGGACCTAAAAATGGTAAGGGGTCCCTTCACCACAAAAACTTGCAACCCATTCAGTCCAGAACTGCTACAAAGATAGAGTCCTCTTGAAACAAAGGTGGTCTCTACAGAGGAGGAAAACATTGGTTGCAGCGATCACAATATCATTTCCTCCAGAAAAGGGAGAAAACGACATAGCCGGGACTGAAATGGGCTACAAATCTTTGCTATCTGAGATGTCTACTGGCCCATAAATGGAGCCAAGACAACCATCAGTAAATGAAGCATTTTCAAAATGGGAGCCACTTTTCTCTGCAATATGAAACCTCAAGGCTGGAGGCTCTGATGTTGAACTTACATTTGTAAGATCTTCCCCATGTCAACAAGCAGTGGCTCTTCCCCAAACATGTGCTTGTCACACAGTCTGTTGTCACTCAAGAGTCAGAGCTTTCTTATGCATTTAAAAGCTCAGAAAGGTGACTGGGAGTTGTTCAGATAGAAACCAAACTTCCTCAATCTACTAAAAATATGACTGCAGCAATCTCCTCTGCCAAATGCTCTTCAACTTGTATTCCACACAAAGTTCTTGCTTTGCTGAGATGTGTCTTACCTACTTTCTCCTTGGAAAATGATCTTGGACTGCAACCCCCAGATGTCCCAAGCCACTGGCATTATGGGCTGAAAGGTTGTGAGAGAGGCAGTCGTAACAAGTAATTTCCCCAAGTTCTGTTTTTCTAACATGCACACACACACATCTTCCTCTACACAACTGATGGAGTCCAGAGCAACCGTTCACTAGTGCAGTCAGGCCCCAGCTTGTTTGAAGTTCATACAAGTATCCCAGCTAATAATGGGAGGATAGTGGGGGGGGGGGGGGGGGGGGGGGGGGGGGGCGGGGGGGGGGGGGAGAGTACAAGAACTGTTCTGGAACAAATGGTGTTTGTAAACATATATTTTAAAAATGGAGGATTTCCCCTCCCTGACCCCATCTCCTTCCACCCTGAAAGAAACTAAGTCCAGAAGGGCAAACCATTTGAGGTGAAGGCCAAGGAGAGAAATCTTGTGGGCAGAGGAAGGAGACTTGGCACATAGTAACAAAAGGACCATAATGAAAGGAAGGAGCTTACTCCAACTTCCATTTTCAGGAGAGAGCACCTATGAAAGAACACCTAATTCCTTTCTTGCTGGGCTCTCATGACGAGAAAGAAGGTGGGAAAAGGGGGATACAGACAAAACCACACTCCCCTAATGTCACAAAACTAAGGCAAGTTGTCTCTCCATGGTGTGGGCACAGCTCTTTCCCTTTGCCATGGAGAGAAAGAGAAGGTTACTGTTTTGGACTACATATCCCCAAGTATGCTGGTTGTGGGGAATTTGGGGACTTGTAGCCCAAAGCAGTAACTCTTCCAATGTGAGTACGGGAGAAGATACGGCAGGGGAAGTGGAGGGAACAAAGCCCACTCCCTGCCTACTCTTTGGCATCAAAACCACCAATGCCATCCAAAGGCCCCCTTTTTTGGGGGTACGCTCCCAGTGTTCGTCACCATAGGTCCTTCAATTCCAGCCAGACAAAGTAATTTGGCAAATGAGAACTGTACCCCCAGGAACAACGACCCCTGCTACAAAAGAAGAGGCACATTCCCAAATGTCACAGTGAATGTGCGTACGTGTCAAAGAGAGAAACAAAGAATCAGAGGCAGAGTGGCTCTTCTGAAGAGAGGGACACAACAATCGAAAGGTGTTGGGTGGGAGGCAAGCCGCTTCCCCGCCAGGACTGCGCTGCGTCTCTTTCTGAAAGTCTGGGCCAAGGGCACCTTGCAAAAACATCCAGGCAATGCTGGCCAAGAGAATGGGAGAAGGATACGACCCTCCCCCACCCCCATACAAACAATAAAACCAAACATCAGCTTTCTGGATCCACAAATATGAGCAGGCAAGGTCTTAAAAAGTCCTGCTGCATTTTCCCGTTGCCAGGTTCTTCAGTTCATCCCAGGAGAAGCAGAAGGTTTGCAGCAATGGATTTCTTTCCCTTACTTCCAAAACGGCGCCCACACAGGGCCCAAAAGGGGATGCTGCAAGGTAGGCTTTTGCTCCCAATAAATAAAAAAATAAGTCTCTTAGGGGGTAAAGTGACCCCTGACAGCTCCTCTCTTTCCAAAACCACAGGCAAAATCTACTTTGGAGGTTGTAGGGTGCCTTCTTTTCCCCCTCAGCATTTTAGGAGGGTATGTCTGAAATCCAGAGCAAACAGAGAAAGAGAAAGAAAAAGAGAACGAACCAATTGACCCCACACTGCCTAAGACCAGCTTAATACGTCCCTTGGTAGCAAAGGCTAACTGGTGGGGCCACCATTCAGGAAATAGGTGGTCATCTCGCCTTTGCCCTTGACTTTGACAACTCCTCGAAACTCCAGCTGGTAACCTTTGGCTGCCAATACCTGATAGAGGTCAGTTGTCACCTAGAAAAAAGGAAGACAGGCAGAGGTTTTAGTTAAGGTAAGCGGAAAGGCCCAGCCTCAAGAGGAAGGTGCCCTTCACATTTCACCCAACCATTCAATACATTATAATCCCAGATTTCCTGCAATGAACCCAAGATGGGAGCCCAGGGTTCTACACCCCCACATTTTCAAACCCCCAACAAGCAGACACCTTGCAAAGAAGTTTTTTTTATAAAAAAAAAATGTCAGAAACGACTTGCAAGTCACCCCTGGTGTGACTTGCAAGTTGCTGTCTGCAAGGATATTGCCCAGGAGACACCCAGATGTGTTACCATTTTGTAGGAGACTTTTCTCATGTCCCTGCATGGGAAGCTGACAGACGGGAGCTCAATCCGTCTTGCAGATTCGAACCGCTGACCTTCAGGTCTTCAGCCAGCACAAGGATTCAACCCATTGCACCACCGCGGCTCCTACTTGTGAAGTAGGTCAAGCCACCCTTTAAGTTTTATGGGGACTCAAGCCTAGATCTCCCAAAATGTTTCAATATTACATTCCAGGGTCCAGCAATTGAAGTAACAGTTCAATATATATGAATGATGGCAGGTTGGTAAAAGGCTGCCCCAGTGCAACTACTATACAGTGGCCACCACTATATTGGATGGCTTGAAAAAAACAAGTCAGATTCGCAGAGGACATTTCTCATTTATGGCCTCAGCAGGTAAATAGAACCTCCATATTTAGAGGGATTCTATCTCCAGACAAAGAATATTGTCATTTTGTGCTATGCGTGAATTTAACTTGAGGGTTACACTGGCAACAGGATACTTGTTGAGTTGGACTCCTGGTCTGATCTGGCAAAGGAGTTCTTATATCCCTAACGCACTAAAACTCTGTGAAAGTGGTCAAGAGGGGGAGCTCTAGTGATACAATCCTCCATAGTATAGTTATTTGAAATATATGACTCCAGACACACATACTGTCTCCAAGGCAGCTCACAACAAATAAAGATTAACAACATAAATTACTCCTCTTTTTTGCAGAAGCTTCTTCCAAAGATGGAAAACAGCCCCAACTCTCCACCACCTCCAAATCCCCCTCCCAAAAGAATGGACAGCAAAATCTGGAAGCAGAGGACAATCACAGTGGGAATAAGGAAGACAGTTCCTCCACCTGACGTTATATTTAAGAATGGTCCCCACTAGCTCACAAGGCGGGATGGAATCATAGAAGCCTAGAGTTGGAAGAGACCTCGTTGGCCGTCCAGTCCAACTCTCTACCAAGAAGCAGGAAAATTGCATTCAAAGGGAGGAGAAAAATGAGCTAAAGCCCTCCACCTCATCCAAGTGTTCCAGCTGCAGGTGTTTTTCAATGTATGTTACCCCAAACTTTAGAAAAAGCTTGGTTTGGCAGCTTGAGAAAAGGCCTGTTCTGTGGTGGCCCCATGTTTACAAAATATACTCCTCAGAATATGTGCCTGCAAGCAATACTGCCATCTTCCCAGCACTATGTAAAATGTATATGTTCTTCCCAGTACAAGTTATAAACAATGAGCAACAAGTTGCAGGTAACAGCCTGTAACACTTTTGAGGCAACTGGAGTCTATTTTAAAGGCAGAGCAATTTGGAGGGGGGGTGGGGTGGTTATGAAATTTTAACTACATTATTAGTGTAATAATAGTTATCAAGTTACTCTTAAAGTTCTTTTAAAGAGCATTCTAGGGTGCTGGAAAGGAGTTTGAAAGGTTTTCCCAAGTTTTTATGCCTCTTACAACTTAAAAAGTAACAACCCAAGTAAATTGATGTAGACAGCGGAGATTTGAGTACTGGATTAGCACTCCAGGAGACCAGGGTTCAAATCCATGCTCAGTCATAGAAACTCATGAGGCTATCTTGGGAAAGTGGAGCTCCCAGTGACGCAATGGATTAAACCCTTGTGCCGACAGGGCTTGCTGACCCATAGGTCAGCAGTTCGGATCCGGAGAGAGTAGGTGGAGCTCCCTTTGTCAGCTCCAGCCCCCCCATGCGGGGCCATGAGAGAAGCCTCCCACAAGGATAGTAAAACATCAAAAACACCTGGGCATCCCTTGGGCAACACCCTTGCAGACGGCCAATTCTCTCACACCAGAATTCTTAAGTCACACCTGACACGAAAATCTTGGCTAAGTCACACACTTTTGTGGTAAGGCAAGGGCAAGCTTCCTCCAAACAAATCTTGTTGAGATAACCCCAGAATAGTGTAGTCTTCAAGTAGCCATCAATTAGAAAAGACTTTAAAAGCACACAATAGATGTCCAAACTCTATTTTTTGAAGTATTTGGACCCAAGCTATGGATATTTGTATGTATGGGGATTTTGTTGTCTTTTTTTTTTCTTCCTCTGCTGGGGATGCAACTATTTGTGGAAAGGTGCCACCATTATTATTATTGTTATCTTTATTATCATTATCATTATGTTTATTTATACTTCTCTTTTTCTCTCCACAAGGAGATTCAAAGCAGCTTGAGGTTGCAAGATAATGGCAACTATGGTCAAAACAGCTGTTCTCACCTGAATGCGGTCAGGGACACCAGTGCTATCCATACGGCTGGAGACGTTCACGGTGTTACCCCAGATGTCGTACTGTGGTTTTCGGGCTCCAATCACTCCTGCCACAACTGGCCCAATGTTTAGTCCTATGGGAGGAAAAAAATAAAATATGCCAGGGTGTGGGGAAGGGAGAGAAAATGGTCTTAGTCATTCAGTTTTGAGATCACCTATCTGCTCTTTAACATGACTATATGAGACTCCCACCTAATCAACCACAGCCCCCAGAGCCACTGACCAATTTTCATCTGGAAGTTGTTGAAAGAGTGCTCATTGATGTATTTCATCTGCTCCATGAGCCGCATCGCATAGTCGGCCAGCGCTGTGATATGGGAGCGCCCTTCACGGTCATAGGTGCTGTCATTCAGTCCTGAAGCTGCCATATAGGTGCTGCCAATTGTCTTGATCTTCTCCAGCTGCTTGAAAGGTTCATCACTAATGATCTATAGGCAGAAGAAAAGATCTGCTTTGATTATGCCAGCAAGGACCTCTCTGTATCACTGCTTTTAAAAAATACAGTCAGTCCTCCATATCCACAAATTTTGCGTCCACAGATTCAACTAACCAGTTTGATTTTTTATATATATTCCAAAAAGCAAGCCTTGATTTTGCCATTTTTATAAGGAACACTGTTTTACCATGCTATGATATATAATGCAACTTAAGTATTCACAGATTTTGGTATCCATGGAGTGTGTGCCGTAACAGATACCAAGGGTTTACTGTAACTCCAAATAGCAGAACATAATCTGCCCCGATTCCATAATCTATGGAAAGAGCCATAACCAGACAGTTTTTTTTATCATGTCAGAAGCGGCTTGGGAATATACTGCATGTTGCTTCTGGTGTGAGAGAATTGGCCATCTGCAAGGACGATGCCCAGGGGACACCCGGATGTGTTACCATCCTGTGGGAGGCTTCTCTCATGTCCCTGCATGGGAAGCTGGGGCTGACAGATGAGAGCTCACCCCGTCTTGCGGATTCGAACTGCTGACCTTCAGGTTTTCAGATCAATAATTCAACCAGCACAAGGGTTTAACCCATTGCACCACTGTTGCTCCCTATAACAGCTCCCAGAGTATAACCAGACAGGGGATGCCCCAGGACAGGACCATTCAGCAAGCCACATATTCCCTTCTGCATCGGCTCCCACAGCCATTGCTATGTAAGGTGGGAGAACAACACCAACCTCCCTTAACATGTTCTGATATTCCCACTATGCCCCAGAATAGCATCACTCCAGGGCATTGTGGAAAAATTGACATCCCTACCCCTAGGTAATGTGAGGCAGTCCTTGTGGATCGCATGCTTTGGGAGCCAAGGGCAGCCATTGTACTTCATTTATTGTTATAGTATTGGGGGTACCAGTAGTGGGACAGCGTGCTTCTGGGGTTTTATCTTGTGCCAAAATAAACTGTCCATCTTCGAGTATGAAGCATTTTAACATGTGCATGGTGCTGTTTGCTGCTCTATGTTTTGGAAAGGTATGAAAACATCAAACCATTTGTCCTGCCTGCTCCTTAGCACATTTGAGCCAAAGAACAGAGGTGATCATGAGGGTTAAGTTCCACCAATGGACTCTAAAGCAGCAGAAAACAAGGTTGCTCCCACCACAATATGACATCTTTTCAAATATTTAAACATGTCCATCATGTCCCCTCTCCACTTTTTTCCCTCCAAGTTAAACATACCCAGCTCCCTCAGTTGCTCCTCGTAGGGCTGGGTTTCCAGAACTTTGACCATTTCGGTGGTCCTTCTCTGGACACCTTCCAGCTTGTCAATATCCCCCTCGAATTGTGGTGCCCAGAATTGGACACAGAATTCTAGGTGAGGTCTGACCAAAGCAGAATAGAGGGGCATCATGACTTCCCTTGAGCTCAACTCTATACTCCTATCGATGTAGACTAGAATTACATTGGCTTTTTTAGCTGCCGCATCACTCTGTTGACTCATGTTCAGGTTATGGTCTGCTAAGACTACTGCAGCAGATAATTCCAGAAAATGAAAAAAAGCTTTCCTTTGGAGGAAAATTCCAAGCTATTTGGGAAGTAACCCCCAAAAGAAACCTTTCCCACCCCAGAATTACATCTCACTCCATCATTTTTTCACTAGAGGCCACTATAGAAATTCCCTTTGTAATGAAAACAGACAATATTTTTAGGGGGAAGGGGCTATTCCACAGCTGCCTCTTGAAAATGCACCTCGCACATCTCTCCTTGCACATCCTGGGGGCAAAGGGGGAAATGCTTGATTCAGCAGACTAATCTAGAAGCTTGCCTGTGGGCACTCATCACTGAACTCCCCTCAACTTGCCAAGAGCCATCACCCCAACCTTCTGCTAAATCTCTGGAAATGTCTTGCAGGAGTTTCTTTTGAAAGGGAAATTTAAAATAATGCAGTGGTTACTAAATGGCCACATACTTCTGGCCATTTATTTTTTAAGCCCCAAGGCAGAGTTGTTGGAAAAGAAAACTGTCAACAGAGATAGCTCCCAGTGCAATGGTTCACATGTCTCTGTCAGCTGCGAAGCAGGAAGGAAAGGAGGCTCAGAGGCCTGGCTCAGGATGGTTGTTGTTGTTCTTGTTTTGTGCCCTCCAGCTGTTTCCAACTTACAGCAACCCTAAGACAACCCTATCATGAGGTCTTCTTGGCAAGATTGGCTCAGAGGCTGAGAGTCACACTGTCACACTGTGTATTTCCATGATCAAGCAGAGATTAAAACCCTGGTTTCCTGGAGTTCTAATGCAAGACTCAAACCAAGTATATTACCCTGAATGAGGAAACCTCTGCAGTCCCATTTTGAAACATTATGCTGCCTTCAAATTTCTATGAATATTCTTTCTCCATCCATATCTTTGAAAAATGTCTGCTACTTGGGTTTTTAAAAAACCCTCCCGAGGTTTAAATTTAGGCAATCTATTTGCAGTTTATTGTCGAAGGCTTTCATGGCTGGAATCACTGGGTTGTTGTAGGTTTTCCGGGCTATATGGCTATGTTCTAGAAGCATTCTCTCCTGATGTTTCGCCTGCTTCTATGGCAGGCATCCTCAGAGGTTGTGAGGTCTATTTGCAGTTTCCCCCAGTGTATTGTCTTCTAACATTCTGAACTAAAACTCCCATTAGCGCCAACCAGTGTTTGGCAGTGACGAGACCTGCAGGCAAAAAATCTAGAGGGTCCTATGCTGGAGAAAGCTTAGTGATTAAAGAATAGTCTGACAAAACATAGTAATGTATTGTCAAAGGCTTTCATGGCCTGAATCTCTGAGGTGTTTTTTAGTTTCTGGATTGTATGGTCATGTGTTCTAGCAGCATTTTCTCCTGATGTTTCACCTGCATCTGTGGCTGGCATCTTCAGAGGATCTGATGATGGTAACTCTACTTGCTTTACCACCACCAGATCCTCTGAAGATGCCAGCCACAGTGAAACATCAGGAGAAAATGCTGCTAGAACACAGCCATACAATCCAATAAACACACAAAACCCCAGAGACATAGTAATGTTTTATTTAAAAGCTGACCCTGTAAACTCCTTCAATTTGAGACTATTTCGATACCAGATGCAACCTGGTCTGAGTGCTTTGGGGAAAGAGGCACACTCCCTAGTCCTCTCACAATCACATTTTATAATATATTTCAAATGAATTTGCTGCCTTATTGTTACATGGCTAGTTAAGCCATTTCTTTCATGTAATAATAAACACCACACACAAAAAATATTTATAGTTATTACTGCAATCAGGGATAGCTAATGGATCCATTGCTGTATGAGGTAGGGCTATATCTCTCCAGCTCCAAGTCACACAGGAGCCCTCCTCAGATTGCACTCTCCTCCTGACAGTATCCTATATAACATGGAATAGTGACTATAACACTGAAAGTAGATATCACTCCCACAGCAGTAGATCCACCAGCAAGAATCCACCATCATCCAGGTGACAGCAATGTGCTTGGTTGAGTTCCACCAGGTCACACCTAAGAAAGTCTTAATAACTAGTATATTAAGAGCCACAAAACCTATATCAGTGGTTTCACTTGTCTGTGCCTGGGCAAAAAATTGTTCTATGAATTTGGTAGGAAGCTAAGTATGCTTCTCCTAGAAGTTGCACTGGAGTAATTAGCAAATTCGTAGGGACAATATCTCTAGATATCAATAGGTCTTCTAACACAATCCCATGGGTTGGTAGGACCAAACATAAGCTAATTTAATGGTGTTTGGGTGTATCCAAGATTTAACATAACCATGGCCTGGGCAGGGAAGTATTTCCCATAGATAAGGGGAGTCTTATAGCTTGCGTAGTGCAGTTACCCTCACTGCACAAATTCCAGGATCCTGGAATTCTAGTACCCAAACTATCTCTAGAAACTTGGTAAAAGTCAGTCTTTCTGTCTTAAAACCATAATCATTGGAACACTTCCAACAAATATTCATCACCTCCTGACACCAACTGAGCAAAAGAAAGGGCCAACCAATTCCATCACAAGGAGAAGCCAGATCCAACCAGCCTACTCACAAGTCCTCTCAAAACACTAGTATCTGCTCCAGTAAATCCACAGCACATCTGAAAGCATCTAACAAGTGACAGTTTGTTAACGAAATACATTTTACACTTTTCCCCAATATATATTGTTACTGAGTTCCCTAGATCCTTTCAGGAATCTTGGATTCAATTGCTCTCTCAACAAAAGGAGGAATACATAATCCAGAGCTAACCAACCAAGGCAGTTTACTGACTTTTTGATGTTTGTTGCTGCAGGAGTTGTTAGGAAACAAAAAACAACACAGTACTGAAGTACTGAAGAAACTCCTTCCATTTTTGTCAAGCAGTTATTCTAAGAGAGACACTAAGATCATCTGGGGAGGCCCTGCTCTCTGTCCCGCCTGCATCACAGGGACGAGAGACAGGGCCTTCTCAGTGGTGGTCCCTCGGCTGTGGAACGCCCTGCCTGCAGATATCGGATCGGCCCCCTCCCTGCTGGCGTTTCGGAGGAAAATGAAGACCTGGCTGTTTGAACAAGCATTTGATTAAACAGTGTAATTGAACATAGGAAAAGGAATAATGGATGATGAGACTGGATTCTGATTTTACTGTTGAGGCACTAATGATTGTTATACTGATGTTTAATGATTTATGTTACAATTGTTTTTAATTGCCCTATACTTGTCTCGTGATGTTTTGTATTGATGTTGTTCACCGCTTTGAGTTGCCTGAGGGCTGAGAAAAGCGGTATATAAATAAAGTAAATAAATAAATAAATAAATAAATTTCCTTATTATTTTGCCTCTGGTCCTCTGGTGCCTCCTGCTTTCGTACAGTATAACAAAGACACGTACTAACCTCATCGAAGTCGGCAATAATTTCATTGAGCAGCCGCAAACATTCAACGCCCTCGTTGTTGGCTTCCAGCTCAACGTAGAACTCGGAGAAGTTGCTGATGGAGGCAAACATGACAGCCACGCATTCGCAGGACTGGTGGTACAGTTCATCATTGAGACGCTCGCGGGCCAAGAAGTGGGCGGCCACGTCTTTGGGCAGGATGTTGTGCAGCAGCCGGCGGTTGTAGGCCTGCAATTCTTCCATCTCTTCTTTCTCACCTGTAGCCTGGGAATTTGTGACAAGGCAAAGAAATATTTTTGGTTACACCAGAGGGAAGAAGTAGGTAAATCTTCATCATACTGGTAGATCAACCACAATAATTCTAGCCCCTACATTTTATTAATGATATCAGCAAAACATGGGATACTGTGAAACAGATTTCATGAGATCTATTCTATTCTGATATTCAGAAGAAATCCCTAGGTTCTGTATTCTTTAGAATTGTGTATATGCCTCTTGCATCATTTCTAGAAATTCCTCAGCATCACAACTGGCTAGATTTGAGGAAGGTGTTTTGGAAAAATTATTCTTCTGCTCCATCTGGTGAAGGTTTAGTTTTTACAGATTAAATTAGTGAAGTAGGAAATTTATTTAAATTCTCCAGAGTCACTGTCTGTAAGGCAGCTAATTCCTACCACCCTGAATAAGCTTAACAGTCAGAGCTCATGTGACAAAAGGTAAAGGTTTCTCCTGACATTACGTCTAGTTGTGTCCAATTCTGGGGAGTGGTGCTCATTTCCATTTCTAAGCTGAAGAGCCGGTGCTGTCTGTAGACGCCTGCTAGGTCATGTGGTCAGCATGACTGGATGGAGTGCCATTACCTTCCTGCAGAAGCAGTACCTATTGATCTACTCATATTTGCATGTTTTCGAACTGCTAGGTTGGCAGAAGCTGGGGCTAACAGCAGGAGCTCACGTCGCTCCCCGGATCTGAACTGCTGACCTTCCAGTCAGCAAGTTCAGCAGCTCAGTGGTTTGACCTGCTGTGTCACCAGGGGCTCTTACTAATCATTCTGCTAGTGAGCTATGGCACTGCTTCTTAAACTGTCCACCTTGAACCCAAATGTAGTCCCCTTAGCTCATTGGTGGGGTCACAACAACATTGGCAACAGTAAAAAGTTTCCGAGCACCACCGATTTACAGAAACCCGTTAGTATCAATACACAGTGTTTACAGTAGACTCTGCAGAAAATGCCTCAGTTGTATTTCATAAAAAAGAAAATCAGCCTATTTCGCAAGGCTTGCAAATGCTGATTTATTTCAGTACTGATTGCTTTTGCACCTATTTTATATACGTATATACTTGGGGCCATGGAAACATTTCTCAGGAAGAAAGAGGCTGCAAGTGGAAATGTTTAAGAAGCTCTGGTTTATGGTATGTATTTAATTGTATTAAATTAATATCTGTAGTTAAATAATTTTGTTTCTGTGTTGTCTCTTTTTAAAAGATTTAGCTTCTCAAAAATGCTGGTTTATATGTGTACAGGCCAACGTGCACTCAGCTTTTAAAAGAAGGAATTAATCTACAAACTTGGGAAAAACATTCTCCTTTTTTACAGCTTGACAAGACCTAGCATTTCTAGGAATCAGCTGTCTACCTTTTAGCCTATGAAGACAACAATGGTTGTCTTGGATGGAGAAACTGGTGAACCAGGAGAAATCACAAATTCCCACATGGCTTGAGAAATATTTGACACCTTAAAGCCGCCGACCCAACCAAGACCCATATCCACCAAAATCCTTACTTCTCCTGACCCACTTTCAACTACCTGTTGTTTCCAGAGGAAGTCTAGACGGGCTGTGGACTCCACCTGCTGGGAATGCAGATAGAGCGCCAGTGCAAAAAGCAGGAGGATGACAGGAGTCATGTACTGCAAGGCCACTTTGCCCTCTGCGAGACTACAAAAAAGAAATGGGTGATGAGGAGAGGGGAGGGAGAGAAGAAAGAAGCATTGTGAAAAGTTGAGACATACCTTTACAAAACTCTACCTCTTCATGATTTGTTTCTCAAACTCTGCTGACTTGTATTTCCAAGTAGGTAGAGATTGTTTTCTTTAAAAACAATCTCTACCTACTTGCCCTTTTCTGATGATTTTGCCTGGAATTCTGCTCAATGTGGCAACAATAATAATTCATTATTTTTGTGGTTGTAGTCTGTATGCAACAAGACAGATTGTACACTGAAGCCCTTCCCCCAAACCTGCCTCTTCTGTAACCATTTTGGCACTCTGTCTAATTAATATAAGGGCTAGATATGTATTTAAAATGGCTTATAATAGTCTTTTGTCATCATTTCCTCCCCCTCTGCAATTTTAACCCAAGAATTTCAACTCTTCAAAAGAAGTACTCATCTTGTATTTCTGCTACTTCTTAATGCAAATTTCAAGTAAAGGTAAAGGTTTCCCCTGAAGTTAAGTCTAGTCGTGTGTGACTCTGGGAGGTTGAGCTCACCTCAATTTCTAAGCCAAAGAGCCGGCGTTGTCCATAGACACCTTCAAGGTCATGTGGCCAGCATGACTACCTGGAGCACCATTACCTTCCTACAGAAGCAGTACCTATTGATCTATTCACACTTGCATTTTTTCAAATTGCTAGGTTAGCAGAAGCTGGGCCTAACTGCCTGGATTCAAACCGCCGACCTTCCAGTCAGCAATCTCAGCAGTTCAGTGGTTTAACCCGCTACACCATGATATATATATTAACGCTGTAACCAGGATGCAAAGAAACCAGAAACTGCTTCCCCAGAGGCCAAAAAGGCTTCTGAAAATCAGAATCCAAGATCAAGAGAAATCCAGCTTCAGGACAGAGGGTCAGCAACATGTGATTTCAAGATGCTTTTGAACTGTAACTGCTATCAGATTTTATCTAATACAGCCGAAGGAAGGGAAAAATATTCAAAAACACATGGAAAACTACATGTTCTCTGCATACTTCCTTTAGTACACTGAACAAAAGGCTCTCACATGCCTTCCTAACATCCAAAAAAAAATTCACAATCCTTTCTAATCCTAAGCAATAGACACCTGAAACAGGCAAAGGGAGGATTAGGACCCTCAAGACTCTGTAGTTGATTCTCCTGAAGAGCCACCATTCAGTAGTGTCCTCGTTTAGCCAGCTTAGTAGGTTCTTATTACATATTTTTATAGTATTTTATTGATCACACAGCCCAACCAAAAAAAATCTTGGTGTCTTGGTTTTTAGGGTGGTTCCTGGTGTTATTTGGGGTGCTGATCCAGAAAATTGCACTGGATAAACCGCATCAGCACCATAGTTTCTCAGATATGGTTATCATGGTTTTCTATGGGCAAGCAGTTACTGATCGCTATATGGCATATGTTCTTTATCTCAAAAACTAGAGCCGATAGGGGAAAACTGGTGCAGTTTTTGAAATCCACAGGTCAAACAAACCCAGAAACAGGGCTAACATTTGAGGCACCAAAATGTCTGTTGGCCAGTGTAATTCTGTAATTATTTGCAAGGTAGTGATATGGTTAATGCTTTTTGATACTATTCTTCTTCCTCTTGTTAACTGCACTATTTTTTTTTAGTGTTTAGCTTGTAAAAATATACAAACAGTTATGCAAAATTCACCATAATTTTCCCACCATCCTCTGGGACTCCTTCCTCCTTAAAATTAATTCTCTAGCAACAAGAGAAAGAGCCCACAGCACTTGGCCTTTTCATCAGGAATGGCAGCAGCCCCTCCAGCAGACTCATCTAGATATTTCTGTCAACCCCTCATCCCACCACCACTTCTGCCTTTCAGTCCATACTGGGCTTCTACTCACCAGTTTTGAGTACTGTGTGTTTCATTGAATGCTGGACTGCTGTGGTATGGAAAAGAGAAGAAGAGTTTCTATAAAGAGAAGAACAAGCCACCCACCAGCATCCCTACTCAACCTCAAACCTTTCCCTACAATCAGAGCTTGGGAGAAGCCACGTTCAGACTGCAATTCCCAGAAGAACTCAACTGTGATGGCTACTAGAAGTTCTGAAGGTTGTAGTCCAAAAATGTTAGTCTTAAGCTCTGCTCAGAAGTCAAAGCTACTGTGATTTTGGGATATGTTACAAATAGGGAGGTGACTTTGAGCCCCATCCCTGAGGATTTTACAAAGGAAAGAAAGATTAATCAGCCCAAACAGCCATATGCTTTGGGTTCAGGTTACTTAATGTTACTTCTCCCATACAAGCCGCCCCACACACTTAGTTCTTTTGGGAGGGCGTATGTTCCAACCAGCAAGAACCCGAGTAGCAACCACCACCCAGGGGACCTTTTCATTGGCTGCACCACGACTGTGGAACGACCTGTTGGATGAACTCTGACAGCTAAATGAGATGTGGGAATTTAAAAACCATGTAAAGACTTATCTCTTCCGGCACGCCTATCCAGACAGTCTTTAAACATGAATTTTAAGTGTTCTTTGTTTGACTTCTGTTTTGTGTGTTTTAGCATGCATTTTGTAGAGATACGTTTTGGTGTGTAACTTTTATGGAGGTACATTTTAGTGTTTGTACTTGTAGTGTTTTTGCTGTGCTTATGTATTTTTATTGTTTTGTAATCCGCCTTGAGCCATGAGGAGAGGTGGGTAAGAAATAAAATTATTATTATTATTATTATTACTATCATCATCATTATTATTGGTGTTTTATTGTTGTTGTTGTTGTATCAAAAAGGGTTTGCACTACAAAGATCATGGAAACATAGAACATTCATTCTTTGGATTTATTTCATTCTGACCAATTCCCCAAAATTATGTGATTTCTTACTGACCAGCACTGTGGAAAAAATCAAGCCCACTCTCTCTATCCCCTGAACTAAAACTCATGCTAGGTATCAAGACCAGCTATTTCTGGAATCCTAAAGGTTATTCCCAACTGAAGTAGGTCTATTTAAAAAAAAGGCTAAACAAAGAGTTAACAACAGGTTCTCTGGTTCTCCTCTCGTTAGGACTAACAATTGTTGTTGTTTTTTTTCGTGTCAGGAGCTACGTGAGAAACTGCAAGTCACTTCTGGTGTGAGAGAATTGGCTGTCTGCAAGGACGTTGCCCAGGGAATGCCCAGTATAGAAACTAACAACTATATTTATGCCAGCATGAGAGGAGGAACAACATACTGGGACAGGTGCACTTTAGTAAAAAAAAAATGCAACCCTCTCAAGTGGGGAGAGTTACTCAACCTTTGCTGCATTTTATTGAGTAATTTTAAAAATCTAAATTAGAAAGTATTTTATGATGTTTTATATATATTAGACAACATTATGTGTTATATGTATTTTACTGTATTTTGTGTATTCTGTTTGCACTACTATATGCTCTGTAAGTTGCTCCGACTCCCTTTTGGGAGATGAGGGCAGGATATAAATAAATATTATTTATTTATTTATCTATCTATTTATTTATTTATTTATTTATTTATTTATTTATTTATTATTTATCTGAGTCTCTAGTCTCCTACTTCACCTTCCCTACAGGCTAAAGACTCATATGCCTTCCACCCCAACAGCTAACAGGTGCTCTTACAAGGCGTTTGCAACCACCAGCAAGTCATAGTTGTCAAACAGCACTCTCTGGGGACCTTCAGCCACGGCCAGGTACACAACTTCCATCCCCACCAGCAGAGCCAGCTTTCCAAGGCTACTGATGTGCAGGAATACGGAGGAGGCCAGCAGACTCAGCAGCACTGAGTATGTGAAGTACTACAGGGATGAAAACAGAGAGAGGAAGACGTAAGATACCTCTTTCACAAAAACAATTTCCCAGAAGCCTACACTCATTCCTATTCCTCTCAAACCGAGATACCTTTGGTGGAATCCACAATGCCTCTAACACCATATTCCCTCCCTCTTACTTCCACAGAGACCTATTCTGCAACATCCTACCTTTCAGACTTCACAACCCCTGAACATATTCTGAAGCAGACTTGCTATCAAGGTAATCCTTGGACGGGTAGAAGTAGTAGCGGAGGAGGGGGTGAAGAAACTATCCTCTGAGTGCAAAGTAAGTGTCCAAATGCCTGGCTGAGCTCTGGTACCCATCCCCCCTACAAATCTTCACAGTTTTCCCTCAATCAGATCCCATCCCCGCAACACTGAAGGATTTGTGGGGCATACATACCTCAGGGAAGCTGCAGTTAGAAGCACCGTTTTCCTGGCAGGGCAAAGTATCTGATGCCAATGAATAGTTGAGGGCATGGAGGTGGCAGGGCTCCACATGAGAAGGAGTCATGTTGAGAAATCCAGCAACACAGTCTTGGAGTCGGAGCCGACTGCAAGCAAACTAGATTGAGAGAGGGAAAAAAATAACTGGCTATGTGGGACTGCCAGTGAATTTGACACTCTGCTATTGTTCCAGAGCCACCCAACCTCAGCATTTCTGAGATTTATCACTGCAGAGATGGGCAACCAGTGTCCTAAAGCCCTAAGATTCAAGGGCTGGAGACAGACAGGCTGGCATTGCTTGAAAGCAGAGCTGCTTCTCATTCTGTGTACATTCCAGAGTTTGGAAACATCAGTAATACAGCTAAGACATTACAATTACATTGTTTTCTAAATAAAGGAATTCACTGGCTCAAATCCAATTTAATCCTAGCAAAATAAGGGAAGGCACCAGCAGAATGGTGCTGGATTACACCTTTCTGCAAGTAGCTGTGGAAAGCAAAAATATGTGCCACATAAACTGCACTGCATATCACTTTTGACTAATTGGGATGGTGAGCTACTGTGAGTGCAACACAGCTTGCATCAGCACAATAGCATTATTGGGCATGAAAATACTGAGAAAAAAGGTAGTTTCAATGTATATCCTTCCAATAATAATAAAGAGAGTAAGATAATAAATGTAATAATAACAGTAATAATAGAGTAAAATAAATGTAATAATAATAATAATAATAAAGTAAAATAATAAATGTAATAATAAAAGTAAAATAATAAATGTAAGAATAATAGAGTGAAATAATGTAAATGTAATAACAATAATGATAATATAATAAATGTAATAATAATAATAATAATAATAATAATAATAATAATAGAGTAAAATAATAAATAACTTTGACTCGAGTATAAGACAAGGGCGGGTTGTTTGAGCCTTAAAAAGGGCTGAAAAACTCGGTTTATACTCGAGTACATACAGTATATAAATTACCTTCAGGCTACGTATATAAGTGAAGCTTAAATTAATTTTGTGTTGAGATTTGGGTCCCAACTCCAAGATATCTCATATGCAAATACAGGTATTCCAAAAGCACCCCAAAAATCTGAAATCCCAATCGCATGCATTTTGGATATGGGATACTCAATTAGTATCAAATCGCTATAACTGTGTGGTGTGCATATACGTTTTGCATTGTCAGATCTGATTCTACATTGCCCTTGCCATTCCAGACCTGCCCCCCTCTCATCTCAGCACCTTGCCCCCAATCCTCATACCATGTTGATGAAAGCTGAGATGAACACAAGCAGGATGGCAGTGACACCTGTGATTGTGCTGTTAATCCGTGACTGGATGATCTTCCGGGAAACACGCTGCAAAGTGGCTGGAAAGGGCTGGAAAAAGAATAACAGATGGTGGCATATAAGATGGAGGAAACCAGAAAATACCATCATCCCCACCCTTTTATGACTAAGAGGCAGGAATGAGACAGATTCTGAGCAATTAAACAGTCGTGAGGTCCAGTTCGCTTTCTCACCAACTAGATTATATGTGAATCAGGCATTAGGATCCAATCACACAATAGGCCCTCAACCCAAGAAATAAACATTTTTATTCAGGAAGGCTTTAAAATATCAATATCAATATAATAACAATTATTGTTATTACATTTACATTATTTCACTCTATTATTATTACATTTACTATTTTACTTTTTATTATTGCATTTATTATTTTACTCTATTATTACTGTTATTATTACATTTATTATCTTACTCTCAATTCAGAGGATGCCAGGGTTTTAACTCTGGATTTGTTATAATACTGTTTATATTTAATCTTGTTTTAATATTCTTGTACTTTTATGTTTTAAATGGTTATGCTAAAGCTTTCATGTTAAGCTGCTTTAAGTCCCCTTTGAGGGAGATAAAGTGGGGTATAAATATAATAACAATAATAACAAAAACAATAATAGAGATGTAACTTGTTTGCTCAGCAAAGCTTGGGAATTTATTTTGTTTGACTTTTTTTTATGCCTATAGCTCCCACAATTCACCAAGCACTTGGAAATTATGATCCAGCACTTTGTTATGTTTTAATGTGTTCAGAATGCTCTTTGATTGTAGGTGAACTATAAATCCCATCAAATACCACTCCTAAATGTCAAGGTCTATTTTCCCCAAACTTTGCCAGTGTTCAAGGCCAATGTCCACCAAAACCTTCCAACATTTTCTGTTGGTCATGAGAGTTCTGTGCGCTAAGGTTGGTTTAATTCCATCGTTGGTGGAGTTCAGAATGCTCTTTGATTGTAGGTGAACTATAAATCTCAGGAACTACAACTCCCAAATGACAAAATCAATCCCCCTCTCCCAACTTCATCACTATTCAAATTTGGGCATATTGGGTATTTGTGCCAAACTTGGTGCAGTGAATGAAAATACTGCATATGAGATAGTAAGATGATGATTCATAACAGTAGCAAAATTCAACTTAGGAATTAGCAACGAAATTAATTTTATGGTTGGGGGTCACCACAACATGAGGAACTGTATTAAGGGGTCACAGCATTAGGAAAGTTGAGAAACACTGCTATAGAGGGTTCCAAGGGCAGGATATAATAAAAAATGAGAGTGCCATTTGGACAGATAAAATGTCACTCATCCATGGGATCCCACAGAAGAAATAAAGAGACTCACCCCAAGACAAGAGTAGATGGCACAGACAAAAAGGATGGTGATCAGGATGCTGAAGATGCTGACGTAGGCACCAAGCATCAGGCCGGAGCTGCAGAGAGATGGAGCAAAGATCAGGCTTGGCTGTTCAATTTTTTGCCATAAGTTTACTTTTCACCATCTATCCGATTCCAACTCACTTTCAAGTGATTTCTATATGGTGGATGTGACTACGATCTTATCTTTTGTACTAGAGTGCTATATAGAAGATAGGACTATTTAATGGAGAGGAGCAGTGCATTTTTTTATAGCGATCCCATCTTTCTAGATACAGTTCAGCTTTGTTAGGATATTAACCTTCCTTCTTTGTTCCTCTATAAATATGAAACCATACATTTCCACCAAAACCGGTGATCTGCCTAAGCTCTTTATCTACATATACTCCCACTTCACAAACGAATATTATCCAAATTTTTCATTTCATTAGCAGGTTGAGCTCCCTCTGTCAGCTCCAGCTCTTCATGCGGGGGTACGAGAGAAGCCTCCCACAAGAATGGCAAAACATAAAACATCTGGGCATCCCCTGGGCAACATCCTTGCAGATGGCCAATTCTCTTACACCAGAAGCGACTTGTAGTTTCTCAAGTTGCTCCTGACATGAAAAAAAGGCCTTCCTACCTGAAGCTGTGGGGAGCTGCAGTCTCGGAATACATGGAAGGCAGCATTAGATTAGGGAAAGCTGCTCTGAAGTATTAGTTGATGGTTTAATTGGGAATCAGTAACATGAAGATGAAGTGCTACCAATTAGACTACATCACAGTATGCTGTGAGAGTGTAGCTGGAGTATTTCATGTGTACACATCAGTGAATAATTGCGCCTGCTCACAATATGGATCTGCAGGAAAAGTTTCATGTACACAACCATGCCACATATTGGCATCCAGTGGAGCACATATCTTCACCATCTGTGCACAAGAGTGCATGTGCATATATACAGTCTCAATTATACGCAGTGAACATACTCTTGCAAGTGTCTCACTTACTGAGGGAAAATGACAATCTGGATACAGCATATGAAGCAGAAGACCAGCACGGTGCAAGCCACATAGCCCCCAAAACGGGTATCTACCTTTTTGGAATACTACAAAATGGAAGGAAAAGAGAATTGGTGTTACCACTGGGTGCCCAATACTCACTGCAGAAGGGTCATTTTGCCACCTAGGCTGAAGTAACAAAGGGAAGGGGTACCTTTCTCTCCAACTCAGGTTTCTGGAAAGTTAGAAGAAAGCGCTTAACATGATCCTTGCGCAACTGGTCAATGCTTCGGGCATCAATGGCACGGCCCAGAAACTCATCTACCTCATCTTCAGGGTTTAAGGCTTCCTGGGTGCTTCGACTGCAAGGCAGAGCAAGAGAAAGGAGTCCCATTTGATGTCAAGAGGGAAGCACTGCATGTCACTGCATTGTGAACCCCATATATTTTTCTTCACCAAAACATTACAAATTACTTTTGGAAACTAGACTCCCCTAAATTCCCCAAATCTAAATAAGTACTTTTTTCAAGCACTGCCTTTCCTACACAGCAGGTAGAGAGGTTTTCCTAGCCCACCCCAGTCACTGCCAAGAGCAGAAGTGGGACCCACAATAAAGGCACTCACTTGTCCTTACTGGCATCATCAATACCCTATGAAACAAGAAACAGAGAGAAAAATCCATTAAACCTTACACCCACACATACAATTTACATACTGAATGAAATGCATGCATGCTCTTGCTCTATACCACATCTACGTCATTCAGGTATTCACATTTTAGAAATCCAGAAAGGAAATATGTCAGAGTATCATGAGGGATTGCCATAAATCCTGCATGAATCTGGTGAAGAGTCTGAATTTAATCGGTTATACCAGTGTTTCTCAACCTGGGGGCCGGGACCCCTGGAGAGTCGCGAGGGGGATATCAGAGGGGCCACCAAAAACCATCAGAAAACACAGTGTTTTCTATTGGTCGTGGGGGTTCTGTGTGGGAAGTTTGGCCCAATTCTGTCATTGGTAGGGTTCTGAATGCTCTTTGATTGTAGGTGAACTATAAATCCCAGCAACTACAACTTCCAAATGTCAAGGCCTATTTTCCCCAAACTTCACCAATGTTCACGATTACACAGATTGAATTTTCGTGCAAAGCTTGGTCCAGATCTATCATTGTTTGAGTCCACAGTGCTCTCTGGATGTAGGTGAACTACAACTCCAAAACTCAAGGTTAATGTCCACCAAAACCTTCCAATATTTTCTGTTGGTCATGGGAATTCTACATGCCAAGTTTGATTCGATTCCATCATTGATGGAGTTCAGAATACTCATTGGCTGTAGGTTAACTATAAATCCAAGCAACTATAACTCCCGAATAACAAAACCAATTCCCCCTCAACCCCACCAGTAATCAAATTTGGGTGTATAAGGTATTTGCCAAATTTGGCCCAGTGAATGAAAATACATCCTGTATATCAGATATTTATATTAAAGTCCATAACAGTAGCAAAATTACAGTTATGAAGTAGCAACAAAAATAATGTTATATTTGGGGGTCACCACAACATGAGGAACTGTATCAAGGGGTCACAGCATTTGGAAGGTTGCGAAACACTGGGTTATACTAATAAATAATAGCAACAGCTGTGGGTTCAATGTCCACATTCACCAGCTTGTCTTCCTTTGCCACCTGGTAACTACACCCAGTTGAGACTGTTTATATTCCCATATGTATGTATCAGCAGTCACCGCATATTAGATTTTCACAGGAGGGAGGACAGATGCAAGCGGAAATTCATGAGCCATCCAAGCCAAATTCTGTATTGATTTTATTTTTTATAAGACTTTCTGGCTTCCTGTCTTGTCAAACAACAGCCACATGACCTACTCTGGTCTAAGTCTTTCAGTTGTACTCTGCTCTGAGAGAGGGAGCTATGAGGGGAAACCGGCATCCTGTTTCCTGGGCTACTTGTTCACATCACTGCACAGACAAGGAGTCGCAGGGCCCTTCCCTGGGCTCACAGTCCCATCACCACCACTGAACACACAGAGAAATGCAATAAATCTGTCTCGCCTGGCCTTTGGCCAAACAAGATGTACTGATCAGGGCCTTCAACATACCAATATGGCTAAGATTTACAGCTCGAAAGCTGGGAGGCCTGCTGGCTGGTTAATACTCAACTTTGTAGGTGTGGTCAACGGGTGGGAAAGAGGTCTGAGGAGAGCTTGGAAATGTTATCAGAGACAACACTGCTGACTTCTTCTCTTTCAGAAAATATATCTTGCCATCTTCACTGCCCACCTCACTTTAGTCACAAATCCTTACTCTGACAGTCTTTTGTTTTATACTATTTTTATTCACAGACTAGCGTATATACCTGGGATTGCCTGAGCTTGCATTCTCTTTGTGGCTCTTTCTATTTTTCTTCCCTTTCCCTCATATACCTGATCCCTTTCTCTATTCTTCCTTTCTTCCCTTATTCCCTTGCTTTCTCTTACACGCCTCCCCCTTCCTCCCTCTCTATCCCTTTCCCTTTCTTTTCCTTCCTTTGTATTCCCTTCTTTTTCTTTCTCCCCTTCCATTTTGTCCATTTCCCTTTCCTTTTGCTTCTCTTTTTTCTCTTTCTTTCCTTCCCTCATACCTTTCCCCCTTTCCTTTTTCTTCCTTCATACAGCCTTTTCTTAGAAGTCACAATCTCTGCAATTCAGAGCAAGATGAAGGCACAGCACAGACCCCTTCCAAAATATAAACCTTTATTAAATCACGTAGTTCCTTATGGGGCAGATGTCCCAACTGTGGTCTTCAGGGCCATGGCATAGGCCTCTTGGTGTGGTCATTTTATTTACCAGTAGCTAGTCCTTTCTATCTACATACTGCTCTTTTGTGGTTGCAGATGAGAGCTGCATACATACATATCTACAGGCCAGTAGCTAGTCCTTTCTATCTATATATACCAGGCATGGGCAAACTTCAGCCCTCCCTGTGTTTTGGACTTCAACTCCTACAATTCCCACAGCCGGTAGGCTATATTGTGGGAGTTGAAGTCCAAAACACCTGGAAGACTGAAGTTTGCCCATGCCTGGTATATATTTATTTATTAATGCGCTTGTATACCGCTAATATCTCAGCCTAAATCGGCGACTCATTGCGGTTTACAACATTTAAAAAACAACAATATTCAGTTTAAAAGCATAAAACACATATACAATACAAATTATTGGGCCACCAATAACCATCCAATGCATCTCGTAACTGGAGTCGCAATCCAAATTCATCGTCCATGATTACCAGTCCTTTAGTCATCATAATTCGTTGCAACGGATTAACCGAATGCTTGTTTAAACATCCATGTCTTCAATCTTTTCCGAAACACCATCAGCGAGGGGGCTGATCTTACCTCTATGGGGAGGGTGTTCCAAAGCCGAGGGGCCACCACAGAAAAGGCCCTGTCTCTCGTTCCCGCCAGCCGCACTTGTGAAGCCGGCGGGATAGAGAGCAGGGCCTCCCCAGAAGATCTTAGGGTCCTGGTGGGCTGATAGGCCGAGATACGTTCGGATAGATAAGTTGGGCCAGAACCGTTTAGGGCTTTAAAGGCCAACGCCAGCACTTTGAATTGAGCCCGGTAGCAAATCGGCAGCCAGTGGAGCTGGTGCAGCAGAGGAGTTGTATGCTCCCTGCGCCCCGCTCCTGTTAGTATCATGGCTGCCGCCCGTTGGACTAATTGGAGCTTCCGAGCGTCTTCAAAGGCAACCCCACGTAGAGAGCGTTGCAGTAGTCAAGACGGGATGTAACCAGAGCGTGGACTACCGTGGCCAAGTCAGACTTCCCAAGGTACGGTCGCAGTTGGCGCGCAAGTTTTAACTGTGCGAATGCTCCCCTGGTCACCGCCGAAACCTGGGGTTCCAGGCTCAGCGATGAGTCCAGGATCACACCCAAACTGCGAACCTGCGTCTTCAGGGGGAGTGCGACCCCGTCTAACACAGGCTGTAACCCTATACCCTGTTCGGCCTTACGACTGACCAGGAGTACCTCTGTCTTGTCTGGATTCAATTTCAATTTGTTCGCCCCCATCCAGACCGTCACAGCGGCCAAGCACCGGTTCAGGACCTCGACAGCCTCCTTAGTAGCAGGTGGAAAGGAGTGACAGAGCTGGACATCATCTGCGTACAGATGACATCTCACTCCGAAACTCCGGATGATCTCGCCCAGCGGCTTCATGTAGATGTTAAACAACATGGGAGACAGTATTGAACCCTGAGGAACCCCACAAGACAAAGGTTGTGGGGTTGAACAGGAGTCTCCCAGTAACACCTTCTGAGACCGGCCCTCGAGGAATGAGCGGAGCCACTGCAGAACAGTACCTCCAAGACCCATCCCCGCGAGGCGTCCCAGAAGGATACCGTGGTCGACGGTATCGAAGGCCGCTGAGTAGTTCGAGCAGAGCAGCGCCAACAGGGACAACACTCGACTGTTCAGGTCGCTTAGTGCGGGCTTCTCTTGGACGCGATTCAGCAGATGCATTCCACTAAAATGAATAGGCGACCTGAAAAGCTGTCTCAGGGTTCCATGCCGTCCGGCCGTGAGAAGCCTAGATACGTGGTGGCCGGATCCAGGATATAATATGCCGTAGTCTTTACCTAGAATGCCTTGGAGTAGTGAGGGCCACGCTACAAACGTTCCATGACATTTG